CTCTCTCTCTCTCTCTCTCTCTCTCTCTCTCTCTCTCTCTCTCTCTCTCTCTCTCTCTCTCTCTCTCTCTCTCTCTCTCTCTCTTTTTTCAAATGAACAAGTCTCACTTTGTTGTCCCTCAGGTCATCTTACGGTCACCTCCCGACATATGATTCTCTACTGGGGGCCATATAATCACATTAAGGCACCGCTGTCATAAGAAGGTGGCACCCAATACCCCACTTTTTGTCCTCTGCCTGCACTAAGTCATTTTCTCCACACAAGGTTATGTTATACTCCTGATACTGTGAGCTTTCATAATTCTTGTATATAGTCCTGATCCGTTCCTCCTCTCCACACTTCGAAGTTTTTTTTTTTCTCTCTCTCTCTCTCTCTCTCTCTCTCTCTCTCTCTCCAAATGAACAAACCTCACTTTGTTGTTCCTCAGGTCATCTTACGGTCACCTCCCGACACATGGTTCTCTACTGGGGCCATATAATCACAGTAAGGCACCGCTGTCATAAGAAGCTGGCACCCAGTACCCAACTTTTTGTCCCCTGCCTGCACTAAGTCATTTTCTCCACACAAGACTATGCTATACTCCCTATACTGTAAGCTTTCATAATTCTTGTATATAGTCCTGATCCGTTCCTCCTCTCCACACTTCAAAGTTTTTTTTTTTTTTTCCCTCTTTCTTTCTCTTTCTCTCTCTCTCTTTCTCTCTCACACACACACACACACACACACACAATGTCTGTCTTATTGTGACATAAATTATATGCACGCAGTCCCACAACATCTCCAATCGTATCGCCTCTGTCAAAATAACAAAAGCGTTACTGTTTTCAAAGTCATAACCATGTTGCAGCTTCGTGCTTCGTTCATTATATCATTTTTTTTTTTGCGGTTATTTTCAGCAACCGATCTAATGTGTAGCTTGTCTTCTTTGTTTGTTTTATTTCGGTGAATCACGAGTTTGGCAAACGCCAGTTGTTGCAAGATGCAACCAATGTTTCTGTCGTCCCTTCTTATTTGAATCACATTTGTGACTGTCCTCTTGAAAGTTAGTGTTCCCCATGGCTCGTCACCCTTCGTTTCCCATGTCTTGTCCGTGCTCATTTAGGCGTGAAGTTCATTTCGAGCGACCATGTAATAATCCGGCTGTGGCACCGCACAAGCGGGAGACCCTTCTCTACCCAAAAATAAGGTTTCAACTGTCAAATCAACTCGCTACAGACCGTTGTCATCGTTTGGTTGTATGCTACAAGCACGCACCGCACATTATTCTCCTTTAAATACTTATAATGTCCTTAAACAACCATTTCGTCAAAACAGACATATTATAGTTTTTGAACGAAATCAAAACTGACTTTTTTTGCCAAAATCCGGTCAAAATTCAGAAGCCAAAAATTCCGACTGGATTTTGACAAAAAAGTCAGTTTTTATTTCGTTCAAAAAATATAATATGTCCGTTTTGACAAAATGGTTGTTCTTCTTTGACAACTCCTCCTAATAAGTTTGCCACCAACTGCAACAACTTAAAAAACTTGTCATCTGAAGGATAGAATGTTGTGTCCCTCTGTGCCAAGTGCACAAACGCTTTCGCAACGGACCTGAAGAGTCTGTCATTTTTTTATTTTTCTAAAAAACTCATATTCGTCAGGCATGGCATCCTGCCAAAGCTCTCGGTCTGTCGACTCCTTCCCCACATATGCCCCTCATATTATAATCTAGCGACCTGCAACAACGTGAATACCAAACACAAGTCGAAAGTCAATTTCCCTCACTCATACACACACGTCGCACATACATAAGCCCACAGACATACAAAAGCTCACACATGCACTTGGTTATTGTTTTTCTTTATCGAAACAAGTTTTTAGTTCATAACTTTTTTGCACTAAGAATGGTGGATGACAACATTTCACGTTGAACAACAGTTTGTATGCATTCGCATCGTGTTTCGACTTCTGTCACACATTGTTTGCTTACATCCTTCAACTGTTGTCTCCTTGCACGCTAATTGCTTGTCATCATTTCTTTCCTCCCTTCCTCGACCACTTGCTCCTCCTTGTATTTTTCTCAACATTTTCTTTTCCTCGTTCAAGCTACGTCATTTTTTTCTACAACTGCTTTGGTTTAATTCATCGTGATCATCGTCCTCGTCATTGTCGTCTTTTATGTTGTTATAGTCTTCGTCATTGTCCTTCTTTCCGTTTCGGTCATCCTTTTCATATGATTGTCTTTCCTTTAATTTATACACGTTGAACTTCCCTCCTTCACCTTTCTGTGCCATTTACATGCATTGTCGTTCTTGATTGTTTGCGAGTCTTGTTCTCAGTCTGTTACTATTGTTGAGGGTTCATTGATGTTCCTCGTAAGGTATGACATTCTCCCTTTGAACAAGTCATCAACATTTTTACGCTTATCTTTCCTCATGCCATGATATCTCACTTATTCATAGGTTGGCGGATGTGTGTGTGTGTGTGTATGTGTGTGTGTGTGTGAGAGAGAGAGAGAGAGAGAGAGAGAGAGAGAGAGAGAGAGAGAGAGAGAGAAAGAGAGAGAGAGAGAGTTCCTGTATTTTGAAGACATATGTGGGAGGCAAGTTTTTGTAATGCAATATGAACAACACACACAGGAAACACCACATTTCGATACAGTTGAGAACTGGGTACCAATTGCGCCCGAGTACGACAACAATTGGCCCCCACTTCCCAACCACATCGTCAAAAGGGAAATAACACTAAGGGAGAGAGATAGATAGACAGATACATATGTCAATATATATATATATATCATTACAAACAGAACTGCCCGGTAAACCGTAGGCAGAGAG